GCTGCTATGTATATTTAAAAAATGTAACTCTAAGAAAACAGAGGACTCAAAATTAAATGTTTGTAAAACTCTAAGAATATTTCCTCGTATGATAACAAATCCCTCATGAAGGCATTGATGGACACATCTCAAACCTGAATTTAATTAATTCCCTCAAGTAATGAGAACAAAATGCTTCTCAATTGCTTTGACTGAAAGTGCATTTTCATTACAAAGTATGAATATACTTCCCAAGGTAAATATGAAGAGGATATTGAGGAAAATAATGGCAAATGAAATAATTTTGAGTTCAACAAGCAGATGGTTAGCTTATGATCTTACAGATACTACATCTCCTATTTTTGCCCACCTCTTTTACAACACAATTAATGTGGAGGAATTACTGAGACTAAGATGTGGTCTGAAAAGACAACATGCCATAAAAAGAACAAAAGGTGGTAAGAGAATAACACAGAGATGCCAGCTTGAAAAATAAATGCAGAAAAGCATTTGGTTTAGACAGCTACATGTCTAAACCAGCAGTTGCAACTACCAAAAGTAGATGAACTTCTAAATTTTATTTAAAGAAGCCAAGGAGAATTTTGTAATAAATTAATTAATCCATGTTCTCTGGGGTTCATACTTTTTATTGATTGTTAAACTGCGAAAGACCAGTTAGAGTTCATCATATAAGACAACATTTTCTCTACTGAGTTGCTCCCTTCAGACTACTTACAAAGGTTTTATCCAATACATTTTGATGCAAATCTCTATGGCAACTTCTGTAACTCCTCCTGGGAACCTAACATCTGCCATCATTAAAATATTTCCTTCATTTGTTTAAATCCTTTTCTCTTCCGCATTTCTCATGCTTCCACCTTTCTTCCAAAAATGTATCCCCCTCCCTTAAGTATTCATGATTTCAAGTTCTTGCAGGCAGTGGCTTCTTCCGGCAGATTCATCGATCAGAATTTTCCCAGAAAACCTGGGAATCTTTTTCTCTGAAATTTCTGCCTCTGAGATAGATGTTGGCCAACATCAATACAATCTACACTCAGCATTTTTGCTCTATTTTGAAGAACTGAATGCATATTTATCCTTTTGTTTGTATTTCTCATTTTATGTCAAGTTATAATCTTCAACAAGCAGCACTGGACTCTCTCATTATTTATTGTTTTGATACAGAGAGCAATTAAATATAATTAACTGGATGATTATCATTTGCTGGTAGAATTTACTAAAAATGCATATGCTCCTGCAGGGAGTTGCTTGCTATTTCCTGCACCACTGATCTGATGTTGTTTGGAGAGAGCCTTTTTTTCCCTCTCTATTTACTGCTTCACTGAACTGGGGAAGGAAGAAAGTAAGTGTATGAAAATAAGTGTGTGCTAGCTTGTGAATAATTATCTCACAGAGAGCTAAGGTATAGAGTTTCGCATGGGCTTTGCTGCAGTGCTGAGATGCAGAAACACTAAAATACTCAGAATTGGGTAATGAAAGAAAGGTAACGATGCAAGCTTTCTTGCTGCTCATGTGATACTGGGGAACTCATTCATGCCAAGAGGTTTTGGCTTATTTTTATTTTCCAAGATGTCTGTTGATGTGAGATTCTACATCAGTAAGATGCTCTTTAAGTGTATAGAACTGATAAATTTCCTGTATTAAGGATGAAAATCATTCTTTTTCATGAATCAGTCTGGTCTGCATGCCACTAAACCCTTACTTAAGCCTTAAGACATTCTACACATGTATTTAAGCGATGCTTGTCTGAGGAATAGGTATTCTGCACTGTGGTTTTGTAATTGTCACTATTAAGCTAATTGCTCAAAACTGATACTCATATACTGCTATTTGCCATCACAAAAGGTGGTAATTTGAACTTCTGAGATACTCAGCAGCTCATCTCATCTGAAGATAAAGCTCCTTTCATTAACTTGCCACTTGGTTGTCCCTGTTGGAATTCAGATCTGAATTCCATTTAACATTTCATACCTTGCCTTGCTATTAAAGTGTGGTATAGCATTTTCTGTGAAGCTAAGCTGTGGCCTGATAGAAAAAGGAGTAATTTTTTAGCAGAACTTTGTTCTTATATGTAGTTATTTAAGGTTCCGTTTTACTGTCATCTAGAAACACTTTAAGTTAATATCCGTTTACATTTAGGACTTCTAAGAACTTCTACGCTACCAAGCTTTTACCTGTTACATGGGTATTTCCAGCAAGCAATAAACTTTTCCTCCACCTTTGCTAGAAACCCATCTAACCATCTTCTTAGTGGACTGCTTCCAGAAAATTTCTCTGATTCTCACATTTGTGCACTGCAACCTTATCTGTAATTTTTTTTTCCCATCTTTGATTTGAGAATGTCTGATCCCTTTCTTGCAGAATTTAAGGACTTTGTGAATGTCTATATTTTTCTGTTCCTTTATATTCTACAATGTTCACTAAAAATCTCTTTGGACATGCTGGCAAGCACAATGCTCAATACTTAGAGAGAAAGAGCCTTCAGATGACTGTGCAAATGTTAGCTAATTATATCTCCTGTCATTCTGTGAGATAAGCTAGTTTCATCATCCACATTTGCACAGATGGGAAATTCAGAGAATTTAAAATTATTTTCCCTCAGCCAAGCCTTCTGAAACAGTCTCAAAGCTGAAAATGGGGCCTGGAAATCATTGCCTCCCACAACCCAGGGCAATTCCCCTATGTTTTGGACACTAACTGACTCTGAATAAATGAACCTAATGAAAGTGTAGTGAGTTTCATACAAAATACTCTGTATTTCTAGAAACAACAATAGTTATCCTGGAAAAAACTTGAGATGCATGCATCTTGATACCATAGGGGACAGCTGTGCTCATCCAATTGCTGTGTAATATAGCCTATGCATTTTACCCCATATTTCTTGCATCTGGCCCTCAAAACATGGAACCTGAGCCACAGTTTAAACTGGATAACTTCTAACACAGAGGTTTTATGAGTCCCTTCTCTCTCTTACTGCATGTAATATATAAAAGAGGAATTTTGTCCCTAAAATATAGGAAAACAGGAAAACTCTGAAAGCTAAATTTTACTCCAAAAATTTAAAGTAGATTTGAAGCGACTTGCTTCAAAATAGTTTCAAATTGCAGATTGATAGAGTTCCATGATATTTGCTCAGAAGAGCATAATTTAAAAGCATCAAAACGATATCAGAGTTAATGTTCTTATTTTAGTGAAGCATTAAAATCTCATAATGTCATCCCTGAAGTGAGGGTACTTGCAATCATGCAAATTCATGAAGTGTTTACAAAGGAGGAGGAGCAATGATCCCCGCTAATGGCTTGGGCCTCTCAGTTAAGCACTGGACTTCCAGCTGCTGCATCTCAAACAAGCACACATGGAGGAGCTGGAAAAATCACATCCACTCTCTCACTGAAGAGAAGGCAGCATACACTCCTCTGTGCACCTGCACCTCTCATACTGACTACAGAAATAGTGTGGGACTATCACTGGCACTGACTTTGCATGTCTTTACATCAATTATGCTATTAGCGTCTATGAAGTGGCAGGGTTAGAGATGATGCTTCACTGTTCAGAGCGACTGTTCAGAGGGACAAGACATCATCAAGTCCAGAATCCAGCTTCTCTTTTGCATTGGTTGCAATTGTTTTTGTCCAGCTGTTTTCACCAGGATTGATCCCTGAGTGACACCCAAGGATATCCAGCTGAGGCTGGGAGAAAGTAATACCTTAACCAGGCTCAGCAGAGACAAGGTGCCACATTTTCCTTTTTGCATTTGAATCACTTTCACAATCTACATGTAGGAAATGCCTCTTTCTCCTTCCCTGAACTCTACTGCATAAACTCAGGTTGAATACATGAATTGCCTTGTAATTTCATCTAGAGATGTGAGGGTCCAAAGAAAACAGAAAAAGCATTTTGTTGCTTTGGAAATGAAGAACAGGATAAGCAGGATACCCCAAAAAGTGAAAAAAAAAATTGGGGAGACCTATTAAGACATGTTTTCCTAACTCTGAGCAAGGTTTAAAATGAAGTAATAGTTCATTTCTTTGCAGTTTATCCTATGCTTATTTTTTAATGGATTTACTTCACTTCAGAGCATTATATTATTACTAAAGAAAATTATGAATACTGTAGATTTGGACACAATGTGCTAAATTTACTATTAGCCCTTAATTCAGTTCTTTTTACTTATATCTACATAGGAATGGCCTGTTCCTTTTGAAACTTTAACTAGAATTTTAAATGTTTATTTACTTGAGTTCCTACATTTCTATTAAAAATCAGTTTTTGAAGCCTGTAAAATAACCTTGGTTTAAGCCTACAACTAAGCAGCATTGGTATTTTCTATACCAAACATTTTAGCTTTCCCTATTTTAGAGATGCTATCAAGCAAAGAAACGCAAGCTTTCTTGGGTGCAGTGGGGTTCTGGAGAATGCACATCCCAAATTACAGTTCGATTGTAAGCCATCTCTATCATGTGACCCGGAAGAAGAATGATTTTAAATGGGGCCCTGAGCAGCAACAAGCCTTTGAGCAAATTAAACGCGAGATAGTTCATGCAGTAGCCCTTGGACCTGTCCGGACCGGACCAGATGTAAAAAATGTGCTGTACACTGCAGCTGGGGAGAACGGTCCTACCTGAAACCTCTGGCAGAAAGCTCCAGGGGAGACTCGAGGTCGACCCCTCGGCTTTTGGAGTCGGGGATATAAAGGATCTGAGGCCAGCTATACCCCACCTGAGAAAGAGATACTGGCAGCCTATGAAGGGGTTCGAGCTGCTTCGGAAGTGATTGGCACTGAAGCACAGCTCCTTCTGGCACCCCGGCTGCCCGTGCTGGGCTGGATGTTCAAAGGCAGGCTCTCCTCTACACATCATGCAACCGATGCTACATGGAGTAAATGGGCTGCACTAATTACACAACGAACTCGAATAGGAAATCCCAGTCGTCCAGGCATTCTAGAAGTCATCATGGACTGGCCAGAGGGCAAAGATTTCGGAATGTCACCAGAGGAGGAGGTGATGCGTGCTGAAGAGGCCCCACCATATAATAAACTGTCAGAAAGTGAAAAGCAGTATGCCTTGTTTACTGATGGCTCTTGCCGTATTGTGGGAAAGCATCGGAGATGGAAGGCAGCTGTATGGAGTCCTGGACGACAAGTTGCAGAAACTGCTGACGGAGAGGGTGAATCGAGTCAGTTTGCCAAGGTGAAAGCCATCCAGCTGGCCCTGGACATTGCTGAATGAGAAAAGTGGCCAGTACTTTATACTGACTCATGGATGGTGGCAAATGCCCTGTGGGGGTGGTTGAAGCAGTGGAAGCAGAGCAACTGGCAACGCAGAGGTAAACCCATCTGGGCTGCTGCACTGTGGAAAGATATCGCTGCCAGGGTGCAGAACCTGGTGGTGAAGGTACGTCATATAGATGCCCATGTACCCAAGAGTCGGGCCACTGAGGAACACCAGAACAACCAGCAAGTGGATAAAGCAGCTAAGATTGAAGTGGCCCAGATGGGCTTAGATTGGCAACGTAAAGGTGAATTATTTTTGGCCCGGTGGGCCCATGACACTTCAGGCCATCAGGGCAGAGATGCAACATATAGATGGGCTTGTGATCGAGGGGTGGACTTAACAATGGACACTATTGCCCAGGTTATTCATGAGTGTGAAACATGCGCTGCAATTAAACAAGCCAAGCGGTTAAAGCCTCTTTGGTATGGAGGACGATGGTTGAAGTATAAATATGGGGAGGCCTGGCAGATTGACTATATCACACTGCCACCAACCCGCCAAGGCAAGCGCCATGTGCTTACCATGGTGGAAGCAACCACCGGGTGGCTGGAAACATACGCCATGCCCCATGCCACTGCCCGGCTAGCTCAGTCGGTAGAGCATGAGACTCTTAATCTCAGGGTCGTGGGTTCGTGCCCCACGTTGGGCGCCAAAAAGAACTGTCGTGGTTTAAACCCAGTCAGGTAATTTGTTCGCTCACTTCCCCCCCTTTTCTTGCCCTCCCCCTGCTCTCGGAGGGACGGAGAGGAGACGCCAAAAGAATGCAACTCCCACGGGTTGAGATAAGAACAGTTTAGTAACTAAGGTATAACACAAATCACTGCTGCTACCACCAATGATAATAATGATAAAGGAAATAACAAGGGAAGAGAATACAACACCTCACCACCAGCCGACCGATAACTCTCCCCCCCCAGCCCGACCAAGCTCTGACCGATACCTCCTCCAGCCCTGCCGTCTCCCAGTCCTTCCGGCTAACTCCCAGTTACATCCTGGGCATGACGTGCTGTGGTATGGAATACCTCTTTGGTCAGTTTGGGTCAGGTGTCCTGTCTCTGCTTCCTCCCAGCTTCCCCTCCTCCCTGGCAGATCATGAGGCTCACAAAGTCCTTGGCCAAACCTAAACATCCTTGTTATCAGCTCTGTTCCCGAGCTGAAAGTCAAAACACTGCACTGCACCAGCTACCAAGAAGGGGAAAAATGACTGCTACTGCTGAACCCAGGACAACAACATACAACACTACTTCACCTCTAATGACAAGTTATGCATTGTCATTATATTCAGCTTTATTTAAAAGTGAAGGATTTATAGTTATATTGTAAATAAACTTACCACTACTTCTGAATACACTAGAAGAACACAGAAATGTATAAAAAAACATGTATAAAAAAGTCAGCTTTGAAAAGCAAGCAACTTCTGCCAATATTGTAATATTTCTCTGAACTTTGTTAAGGTTGTCAAAAGTAGTACTTTTTCTCTAGACCTTCACAATTCTAGAAATTCTTTACAAACCATGGTAAAAACACCATCAGGGTACTTCATTTGCTGTGAAAATAGGGTCTTGGTTAAGGGCCTTTAAGGGGTCTTTCTTCTGTATGGCAAAACTACTAAAAACTACTTTCTTCACTGTCTTCTTTAATCCACAAGCTCTGCACCAGGGATTAAATAAGGAGAGTAATGCAACAGACCCTTTGGGCACCAGTTCTGACACACCACACAGTGAAGAAGACAGGGGAGGCAAAAGGCAGGGTATCTTTAGGGCTGCCAAACACGTGTCAGACCTAACCTGGCTCCATCAGCATTAACCCCAGACCAAGAAGTGTGGAAAAGCAAGGAGCAGAGACACCAGAGACAGGTGGACACAAGCCATCATAGCCCTGAGAGCAATCTAGTCGTGCTTATTGAGAGCTGTGCCCCAGCTAAGAAGCCTGGCCAAGAACTGGGTAATGAGAGCTCACTAACTTGCAGACAATGGCTGGCAAATAGCTATGAAATGCAAACAGCACCGAGCTGCTCTGGCGTTCAGAGGATCAGCTCTCTCTGCTTGGAGGATCTGGAATGGGATACTTGCACTGTGTATGTCTTCATAACCTATTTTTATTACCTCCAACACTCAAGAATCTGGCAATTTAGGCCTTTGGGTATACTCGATATTTCTTTAAGCTACAGAAGTTAAGAAGTCCATAAGCAACCCATTTTTATACACTTTTTCATTAATGTCAGATGAATTGTATAGTGAAACTACCTTGGTTGCTTAGACCACAGTTGCAACAGTTGGTGTATTACATTACTGTGACCTCTGCATTTTATTACGCTACAGCAACCACATCTCAGTGTTCCCGCATATCTGACTTTTCCTATAGCTGTGTAAAGGGCTTACACTAAAGTAATATTTATACAAAAAGTTTCAGGTTCCCTAAAAATTTTCAGCAAAGCATGAAAATCCCCAAAATACAATGATAAGTAAAACTATATGTCAGTTATTTAAGCATTTCAACACAAATACATCATCACAGGAGTCCTGGCAATTTGTTGTGCTCACCTTGTATGCACCACAGAACCCTCTAGTTCAACATAACACAGTAATTCAACTTTCAGCAAGTACCCTTCCCCAAAGACACAAGATCATGACACGTCAGAAGACATATATTTGATCAAGAAATCTGGTTTCTAGAGAACTTTGGAGTCAGAAGCCAGTCTTATTATCAGAGGAGAACCTCCAGGGCTATTCAGTGTGCATAATTTTTTTTTGCTGAAAAAACACAAAACCCATCTCCTCAACTCTACATATCATAATTTTTACAGTTCAGGTTTGCTAGTTTCATAAAACATACAGTCATTAGAATCATACCTCAGCACCACTTTTATACTTGTAGCTTCTCATTAACAAAGTAGTTAGTTAATAAATTCGTATAACAGGATTTCATTTGGTACACATTATATGTAACTGGTGTTCAAAACAAATTTTACAAATTGAGACAATGAATGGATTTCCTAGCATAGTGATTTATAGAAAACTTAGTGAAAGTTGATCTCGAAAAGCCTTCAGTGTTGTAAATTTTAATACAGATAACTTAAATCATGTCCCAGCACAGTGTATAAAAGGACAAGTGCTCCTGTCAAAATGGCCTGAATTATAATGGGCGAAATTCTCTCAATAAATGAGGTGTGATTCCACGTCTGATGGGCAGATATTCAAACATTCCACCTGCTGCTTTGCCAGCTAAGTGAAATACTGATGCAATAGGCTTTAATGTAAAAGTCAGCAATGCAGAGAAAACAAAGATTCTGGGCAAAAAACATTTGTCCAAATCCCAGGTTTCCTGTGATTTACTATTAAAAAATCAGAGTAGACTGATTCATCTCTAAAAGTTTTAAATAAAAGTATAGCTAAACAGAAAAAAGCCTCCTATCACAAAATAACTTGCTTATATTCTTACAAGTTTACCTGCTTCTTTTCACTGCAAGCCTAAGCCTGGTTCTCTTGTACGTAAAGGTCTTTTTCCATACATAAAACTGAAAGCAAAGATTCAGAACTCCTACTCAAATAAATAAATAACCCAAGAAATCACACAGTCAATAGATCACTTTAGGTAAAATTTGGTGGCTCAAGCCTCAGAAACACAGTTATTTGTGCTGGAAATCATGGAAAAATGCATGATAATACTTTCTATTAAAAAAAAAAATAACACTATGGAATAATGCAATACTTGAAAAAATGAGAAATAGAGAAAAAACAAGTACAGTCCAGTAGGAACTGTATTTCACCTACTGTCTAAGGTCATAAATGTGGAGAAATGCCAATTATAATCTGGAAGGCTTGTTTTTTTGTTCTCTAAGTTAAATGGATATTTTACTCCTGAGATAAAAGGAGTCAAAATCTCAGACATAAGACAGAGATAAGAAACCTGCATGCAAACATGGGTGAATATTAACCCCTAGAAATGAACGATAGTTGTGAAACAGGTGTTCATAATCAGAGAAATAAAAGTGTTCAAAGCAGCATTATTTAATTATAATTTATTATATTTAATTTATAATTATATTATAAATATAATTATATTTATATATATATAATTTATTTAATTATAATATAAAAATTATTTAACCCATCAAGTGACAGAGACATCAGCCTTCTAATGTCTATTCATTTTGACATTTTGAAAGTCATTTGAAGACTTTTGTGGTATTTCTGGGCCTTAATGAAAATGCAGACTGCAACTTCCAGCATTTCCAAATGTCTGGAATTTCCAGCACTTCCAAAATATCTGCATGTCTAACATACTCTTAAATAAATTCTAAAATACTCCATAATTGTGTATCACACTTCAGAATACAGTTCATATAGAATCTAGCTGAATAGCACCTCATATATGCTTGGTTGGGACAGCTGTGTGACACTGGAACAGAGTTAATAACTATGAGCTAAGTATCTCAAATTGTCTTTTAACAGAGCTATTCTTCCCCTCTGTAATATATTGTCCTATATAAGTTCAGAGGAAAGAATTGCAAACTGTGCAACTGCAGTAGCTGAATGGCATCAAAGCCAGTGGCAAAACTTAAGCAAATTACCACAACCTAGATTCCTTGGAGAAAGGGCCTTTGGAAATAACCTGGCTGACCCCCTCCAGTGAGATGCAGTCTGAACTTTCATCATAGGCTCTCTGCTGTTTTTATTCTTTGTGTCTTCAGGGGATTTTTTTGCATTCTTCTTTATTTTCCCTTACATTGTAGGCAACTATCTGTTTTTCATAGAAGTTTGCATGACTAAATAAAAGCCATGAAAAAAGAAATAAATCCTCATCAGACGTATTGTCTTAAGGCTTGCAGGAATCATGCACCAATATTATTGAGTAATTGTTATTATAATGATTATTGGGAACTAGAGCAGAACATTAGAAACATTGAAAGGAATGTTTTCCCCTCTCCTTTTTAGACGTTAGAGTGCTCAGCCTCATTTTTATTGTTATTCAAGATCACAGCCTTCCAAAATGACAT